ATGGCTTTACGTTTCGGTGATCTGTATTTGTGCAGGTCACAGCAGAAAAATGCAGGCTGAATGTTTTTTTCTTAATGCTTGCCCTGCTATTAGGTGCAACGGCATTTATGCAGACAGTTCCATTTCCTCCAGATCCTTCCCAACACGAACACTCGTTCAGCTTACAAGTGAGGTGGCCTTCAGAGACTGCAACATTATGTCCCTCTTTTGAAAAACTAGCTGCAAACCGAGCTTTCTTCACCATGAAAAACATCAAGCCAGAGGTAGGCAGAAGCATGCTAGATGTTCAGCTGCTATGTTTTTTACCACTGGAAACTGCTTACTTGTGGTAATTACAACCAGCACCTAAAAGCTTTAATCAGGTCAGAAGTCCATGCCTCTAAGCACTTGGTTGACAGAAGAGAAGCAATATTCACTGTGAATATTGGTACTGTACAAGGACAAAGCCGCCTTCCTCCCGTAATGGCAATCATCCTAATTTACTATTTACAAGACTGCATAATACTGGAAATGTATGTTTGGGCAAACTTATAAATCCTATCATTTATGCCCTATTTGGTGCCAATTTTATTTTTCTGGGGCCCAGCAATATAATAATAATAACAACAGCAGCAGCAATGACAATAACCACAATTTTATACTTTTCTTCCGTGCAGAATCTGGGAAGTCTCTAAATCTCCTGCGAAAATACGCAAGCTGGAGTCCGAAGTGACCGGCCACCATCGTCTGTCTGCCGCTGACCCTACACACCAAGAGCAGCAATGTTGGGTTGCTGGCTTTTTCCACAGAAGGAAGATAAACTTGCTACTTTAATCACTGGTTAACTTTAGAAATATTTAAACATAAGTGCATATCAAAAGCAACAAGTGCTGAAGTTTTAATTGGAGCAGTTGGAGGACTTTACAGCCAGTTTGTACCAAATAGGCTGACACAGATTTATGTAAAGTGATGGAGATTATATTTACACTGTTACTACGAGACATATCTGTTTTGTATTCGTCTACAAAACACTCATTAGCGCTACTTAAATTGCCCTGTTTGTATTTACTCGGCAGACTGTGTTCACCAGCGCAGTAACATATGTACCTACCAAAGAATTTGTCAAGTGATGTTTGGCTGTAATTATCAATGTCGCTCCTACTGTGATGATTGCTCTTTTCTCCCATCCTTTCGGCATGCAGAGGAGAGAATAATTCATGGCAGGCGAGGGATTTCCCTATGAAACGCTTCTGCCACGGGTAAGTTTTTGATTCACGGGATTGGATACTGCGGAGTTTTTATTTTGTATTTACAGCTCCTGCTTGGGATGGCAGGGTATACTGTCAAGAGCTCGTTACTGAGGTTTTCCTGCTTTAATAGTCTCCTTATTTTGCACGTTAAGATGGCTACCAGCAGGCTAGCACACTGGAAGCTGTTATTTTTATATATTAGGAATTTCCACGCTACTCTCCAGTTGTGGGTTTTAGTTTAATAGGTGATGTGCTCCGCGTCGTGCCCACAGGAGTGTAACCCAACAACCATGACTTCACAGGCAGGATTAATGTGGCTTCACTTTAGCGATCTAGAAGTTAGACAGCTCATCTAAGAGTGTTGTTGGAGTGTCTCTAAAGTCACTGGAGACATCCGGGCATGTCCAGAGGGTGATTCAGCTGCTAGAAGAAACCTGGAGAAACCTTCTCCTCTCTAGTAAGGCAGCAAAACCAACCAGTACACTGGAAATGTCACGTTGATCCTTCTGCACTTCATAACTGTTCTGAGAAATCAGTTCTCTGGGGTACCTACCCAAGATCATCCTACTACAGGAGACAAGCTTGAGCTATCAAAGTAAAAACCTAGGTAGTTTGTGGTCTATCTGTCTTCAATTTGCACAAAAATGAAACTAAACCGTTAAAGTTCATGCATTTCTTAAAGCCAAAAAGACACCGCTACCATCTTTAGCAACTGTAACTACAACGTGTCCGATCTGCTTTTCACACTGGCAGCATTTCTTTAAAAAGGGATGAAAACCTATTAACCTGCTTAAAGTTGAAAAAATTCGGCAAAAAAATGTTTGCAGTGGGAAACCCCACCAGCAGTACAAACACACCGGTGCATTTTTAACCCTAAGGAAAAAGATTTTTTTCTCTAAGGGTGACTGAACACCGAACAGGTTGCTCAATGAGACTGTGAAGTCTCCATCCTTGGAGATATCAAGACCTGAATGGACATGGTCCTGGGTCTCCAGACAGAGTATTCCTGAAGTGGTGGGATGAGGGGGAAGGACTGACAGTGCCAGAGGCCAGCGTGCTTCTGGGGCGCTGGTGAAAACTGAATACACAGAGGCACACGTGCACACACAAAACCCCGCTGAAAATGGGAAAATTCAAATGTTTTACTCCTCGCCTGAGGTCTCACAATTAAAATAAACATAATGGGAGAAAAATGTAAAAAATTATCTTAGTTCTCCTCTTAAGAAGCATTCGCCTTATGTCTTTTATTTTCTGTGTAATGTTTATAATTATTTCTTATGTCGATGCAGGCCTGCTGCTGCACATCCTGCTAGCCCATTAACTGCTTCTCTAAGACTCCAGCATTTCAGATTATAAGTATCGGATCTGCACTATAATAACGTATGTGATATCATTATTTTGTGATAGCTGAAGCTATAACATCCTTAAAATCAGCCTGGTAACAGTTTGCTGACGCTACAGTTATTGGACAAATGCTGAGATAAAATGTTTGTTTTAAGCACCGAAAGCCTCAATAGTTCTGGAATCCCTCTTCAACGGGAAGTCACTTGAGGTTTATCTTATTGATTAGCATCTGGCTCGTGATTTCCGAAGCTGTGAATTCGTCGGCAGCAGAGTAATAGCACTGCGCATTGCTTGGAAAGCCTCTCTCCATCTGGGGCAGGCGGCAGCGGGCTCCTCTCTCCGGGCCGGCTGGATTTGGCATTGGCACCTCATCAGCACGCTGATTCCAGCAGAAAAATGTGCAGTAGACAAAATAACGCCTTTCCTGCTGCCTGAGAACGTTCTTTCTGCCAGCCAGGGGCTAGGAATGTAAATCACGTCGTGTTTCATTAAAACTTCAGACTCAGCACGGTTGTGAGCCATAGCCGAGACCTCAATCAACCTCCTGAGACTCGCCAGAGTACGACCACCACCAAAACAGAGCAGTAGCGACGGAGTGACCTAAATGGTGTTTTTCTCTCCTTATGGGAGCACTGCTCAGTATTTAAGTCACTGGGCAAATTTTGAGGACCACAGAAGCGGGCAGTGGGTGCCTGGCACGAGCCGGCTGTGAGCACACAAGTCTCCCCATCACGGCCAGCACGGAGAGACTGGGATTGCTGCGGAGGAATCCCAAATGTCTGAATAAAGCTTCTGCTGCTGCTGACCTTTGGGAACCAGACTCCTACCGCTGCTGTCAGAAAACAGGCATTTGCTCGGGTAAAGAGGCTCAACGAGGAGCCAAAGTCCAACAGTAATTGCAGCAGAATGACCATCTTCTCATTTTAATGTTGACAGACATAGTAAACAAGTCCTTCTTTGAATTGAGACTTTGTTCTCAGGAGCTTTGGGAAACGTAGACTTTGCAAACACCCTCCTGTAACAGGTGAAACCTAAGATTCATCCATCACAATCGTTAGCAGATCTGACATTTAGTGAAACGCGCAACTACGTTCTTCAGAACTGATGTTTAAGATCGCTTAATGTAATTTTTCCCTTGATATTAACACAGAGATAAAAATAATTTATGATGAGACTGAACAGGACTGAGCTAATCACGGACCATGAAGAATTGCACATACGATGCACAAGCCATTTAACTTTTCTTTTTCAGATTTCTTCACTACTTTAAATTATTTGATCATGATTTTTGAAAGTAATTCTTCATCTGTGGGTTGCCTTTGGGCCTTCCGCTGCATGTGAGTTCCTGCTTCGGGCTCCCTTATGTATCTTTATAGCACTAATTACTGCTGGGTCCAGCTCCTGGAGCACGTGGACCTGCACGGCGAGCTGTGCTTTGACCTGAGTGTCACCTGGCTTTTCTCCTGTGGCTTAGCAAGGTTCCTCATGATAAACTGATACTTTCATGTTTCCCTGTTTACAAATTTCTCCCCTGGCACACGTTTCCCTTTTGGAATTACAAAAACTTTCTGCTCTGCCCATCAGGTTCCACTGCAAACTGCACAACGAGATCTTTCGTAGATCTACCTTCTCTCTAAGGTACCTCTTGCCCATTCATTGTGATTTTTACGCAAGAAAACCAAAAAAGTGATTCAATTTTTCATTACATATATACCCTAAGAAAGGTATTTTGAGGGATTTTTCAGAGCTCTAGACATTAATTCCCGGTAATGCAGGAAGACTGAATGGAAGGGTGTAAGAATCCTGTATTTTTCCTGCTAGATTAAAGCAGACAAATCTTTGCCATGGTGTGACCTTTTGGAGGAAAATGCCCTTTTCCACTCACACAGGACTAGAAAAAGAAACTTTTTTTTTTTTTTAATCATTCACATTCAAATAAAAACTTCTCTAAAACTGCTCTTTCTGGGGGGAGGAAAACATTTTGATGACATCAAAGCACTGATTTCACACCTTCAGACTACTTGTTTTGTAGATTTTTCTTCGAAACTCGTTACCCTTCAAAGTGTTCAAAGTACGAACAGACTCTCAAAATGAGCTGTTTCATGAAGCTGACACTAATTTGTTGTATTTCCTTTATTTCACAGAACCTTCAATATGATTTTGCATTTTGGCTGTCCAGATTATTTGCTGTTCAGATTTTTTTTTTTTTTTCCATTGTAAAACCTCCCAGAGGTGGAAACTGTCATTTCTGCCCTGTTCTACCCAGAGCCCTCCTTCCTGGAAGCCCACACTCATCCCTTCCAGCGTTCTTTGCAGGACTCCAACCCGTTCGCACAGTGCCACCCGGCGCAGCCAGCACCTGCACCGCAGACCGAATTGCGCAGAATGTACCGCGACGCATTTCCTCGTACACAAAATTCTTCTTACCACTATACTTGATGACCCGAATAGTTGAGTCCCCCTCCCCAAATCTGGTGATGGGCGTTAGACGGACTTCATATGCCTCTGGCTTGATCAGCTCAGTTAGGTTGTAGGTAATTAATTCTCCCTTTTGAATATTTCCATTCACTGTAATTTCCTGTTCCCACCAACGCTGTTGTCCAGCCTAAAATCAAAAGAAGGATGCAAATGTCAGAGCTTTTGGGACAGATGTTGTCTTCACCCTAGAAATGAACAGGAGCAGACGCAGACCTGTGCTGCCCCGGGTGCCTCCTCCAGCCTTCAACCACCCCAGGAGGGTCAGAGACACAGCAAGACCGCGAACCTCCCTGACACAACCCGCGACGGAGCAGTCCTGTAACAGACAGACGAGATGACAGATTGCAAACCCACTTTCTCAAGAGCCCACCCCCGCCGGCTGCCCGCCTGTCCTCCGCCCGC